AATTAATTGCGACACGGATTCTGCGTGGGCGTTTCTCGATCGCAGAAGGCTTTCTTCTTCTCGTTCGCAAGGAGCTTCTAATGAGGGTTAATTGAAAGCGGCAAACTTCTGTGGCGGAGAGAATTCCCTCCCGATTTTGGGTTTCCCCCTAAGCCTTCAATTAGAATCTAGTCGTAATTTACCTTAATTTTGTGGTTCAATAAAGGTAAATATATAAACCATTAAAAATAGTATTTGATAATATAGTTATTAGAAAAAAAATTCATAAAAATAAAGAAAATGAATAATATTTTTAACAAAGAACTTAGATATATTTTTTAAGCAGATTTTGTTTATTCAGCTGAACTTTTTACATTCATATATTTACATATTTAATACCACTTTTTCTACCCCTATCCCTACTTTTGTTTTTCGAAATCCACCCGTGTCACCTAAATTGGCCTTCTCATATCAAGTGCTTCAAAAGTTTCGCTCAAGCTTTCTTTTGTTTCAGCTGACAGTTGATCAAAATACATTTTAATAAACGGCAGATGTGTAAATCAAGCACACAAGCATACAAGTTCAGACCCTGTCTAAATATATTATAAGCCCGGTTTCCGGATAGGGTAACTCCCTCTATTCCCGTCTGCCCTTTGTGACCTGACATTTATTTACCCTTGCGGTGGTTTTGTTTTCCCTGGCTTTCGTTCCCTCCCGCTTACTGTTGTTATGCCAAGGTGGCATAATGTGTTAATTGCTTTGCCCACACCCACCCTCTTACGCCCACCTCCATCACCCTCCTCCCCATAAATAACGGCACTTGAAGGCAGCTGCCGCTTGAGCTCGTTGCATATTTCATAGTCATTTAATTACAGCGACGGCAGAAAAGAAATGCAAATGTTCACTAACTGCTCTGGGCACACTGGTCGAACGGACACAAATCAGGACAAGTGCCTAATAAATGGCCTTAAAAGACCCGGCCACTCCCGAAAAATCACTAAAGAGACTACTCAGAAGTCCCGGGAGGTTGTCCCTCCCCACGACAATAAGTTAAATAAGTTTGAAAGCTTTTTACGCCCCCCATTTTCCCCATTTCCAGTGGGACCAGCCTACTTAAGCATTCAATGGCTTTCATTCATTCGATTTGATGACCCGCACAGGACATTCAAGTTGCCAAACGAATAACGAACGGAAAGAGCGGCGAGCAGCGATCGTTTTCATTATTAGATTTGTATAGGATTTCATTGGGGGCTGGGGCTCTAAACAAATGAACCTAATATGCATTATTATTATGGCATGTGAAAACGAAAGCGATTCGACGATAAAACGGTCATGCAAGCAAACGAATGCCAAAGTTGAAGTAAATATTCAATAAAAAATAATCGGAGCAGAAACCAGAACGGAGCGCCCCAACGAAATGAGCATAAAAATGGGGTAGGGGTTGGTAAATCCGAATCCAAAGACGCAGGCAGGCCAAGTGGAATGCAATAAAAATCTATTTTATTTGTTAGTGAAATGACATTTTTATTTGTTTGCTGTTTATGCACATCCACTCACTCTCACACACACACAGAGGGATATAACGGATAGGATATAAAGAACGCTTCGGGCTGTCTGTGTCACGTCACACATGTCGTATGAGCAATATATGCAGATAAATAAACTATTACACAGGATTATTATTTACTTTGGCGCAGGATATTTTGACAGGTTTACGATATTTAATCATTTGACTATGCAAAATAATTGACACAAACTTTTCGCCTCCGTCTCTTTCGATACTTTGTTTATTTTTGCTGCTAATAAACTCAATAAAAATGCTCGTTGCACATGGGAATAGTCATGTTTATTTGCCTAACTAAAGCAAGACATGCAGTAGAAATACTCGATACTCGATCTTATTGAAAACATTATACTGTTTCAACCCCCCATCTGGGATGCGATTTTCTGCGCTCGGCCATGGCAAATTAAGTTTTAATTAAACTCTTTTTGGCCCCCGGTTTAATGCGGCGTATGATTGAGTCGACTGGCGGCTTTAACCCTTGACTGGGCGCCAGACAACCCCCGGCTGGAGAGGGAGGAGTGGAAAACCGCACTCAGTCCTGTCAGCGAGTAATCCAAACAAAAGTAATTGTCATCTCCCAGAAGAGAAGAACATATGTTGCGGCTCTCAGGGTCCCAGTGTTTTTATACTCATATCAGGGGGAAAGAAACGATGTCTATTGCCACGGCAAGTGTTAATGATCGCCTACACAGAGAGAAATATTCAATCGTTCTGACTTGGGACCATTTGTTCTTGAAATCGAGGACATTTGTTCTTAAAGTCCGTATAAGCACAAATGTTCTTATATCAAGTTCAAGTATATTTATATTTTGAGCTATAATTTTAAAAACATTTTCAATTCCAAATCAAGCAGCAGAATTCTCCCTGTGTAGCTTCCTTTCGTTATGCTTTTTTTTCGGGCGTTAATCTGCCGTTTAATTTGCTGGCTTAACGCGTTTTGTTTTGGTTACCATCAACGAAAATCTCCGGGCTTATGGACAGCCTAGCCTAACCCTTGTTTAATGGTTGCCGCCCTTATATACCTTATTTAGTTGTCTTTCGGGCCATTGCTAAACCACAAAATGACACAATTTCAATTGAACTTGCATAGTTTCGGGCCCTCTCGCCGCCTGTCAAACGAATATTGCCATTTAAACAACAATCAAACAAGCCACAGAGAAATTCATTCCATTGCCCCGTACACAAAATGCCGAAATCCAATCAAACTTTTTAAACAAACATTTAACAAATCTATTACAATGCAATGACAGCAACCAAAAAGAAACCGACGAAAAGTGGGCGACCAAAGTGAAACCCTGAAATGAACTCATCTAAACGAGAAATTCTATTTGGTGGACGGCTGGCTGGGTTTTTGCCAGAAAGAAACAACTCAGTCAACTTTGGTTTTGGTTACATTTCCTTTTTTGCCAGCCTATAGCCTATAGTATAGTATGCATGCAGATGTGTGTGTGCGAGCAAACTTAATCAAAACAAATTTCCACCTTCAACGAGTTGCACACCAAGCAATTTCCCAGGCCCAGTCAAAGGGTAAAAAAAATGGAAAAAATGGGGAAAAAAATCAGGAAGCAAAGGAGTAAAAACGATAACTAGAACTTCATGCAAACTAACCGCAAATACGATTACAAACACACAGGATCACGGGACGAGGACGAAAGGACGAGTACGAGGCACCCCACTAAATCGAAAAAACGAGTCAAAGGGTTGGACTCCAGTTCGCTTCGATTCCTGCTGGCATAATTTGAATTCGTGTCAATTTGACAAAGTGACACATGAGGGCCAGAAGGCCCCGAACGTTCAGAAGGAGAAATTTTTATGCGATTTCGCTTCATTACTTTTGTATTCCATTTGGGCGGCTCTATAGCTTTGCGTTTACCTATAAATACATACGGCATTTTCGGTATTTGTTTATTTATTTATGTCCCGTGTTGTGTTGGAGACGCCGACGACAGTGTCGCCAAACTCTGGCTGTGTGGGCACGATAATGTTTAGTCAATAAAAATGATTTGTCGGCTGAGGAAACGAAACGAAATCGTGAAATTTGATATGTCCTTTGCATTTACCGGAGGGGAGGGAGGGAGCTTTATTTCCTCCCCCCGAGAATTTGCCTCACTCCGGTAGTTGCGGTTAGAAAACTATGCCAATTGACTGGTCCACTCTAGAACTTACAGCAGCCCCAAGTTGGAAACAGACGTATTTTTTTCATTGCCTTGGAATACACAGAAAGCTACTGCATGAACTATCACATATTTCTTTAAGTAATGCCTTTGAAGAATCATTTAGTCATCATTTGGTCCACCCTAATAAAATTATAATTAAATCATTAAAATAATAAAATCATAACTGGAAACTGGCAATTTTAACTATCTTAAATATTAATTTTTAAACAAATGAAGATTATTATATTTGTATACTGCTTGGATTTATAAATTCACTTCATTATGTTTGAACTGAGAAAATATTTTTAAAAAAATGATGTAGAATTTTAAAGCAAAATAAGTTATTTTATGTTAAATAATCTATAAAAATATTGGAATTAGAAGGAGCTTAAATAAATTAATATTTCTTGAAATATTTATATAAGTCATAAATATTATTTCTGGGTGTAACACCCACTTTCGCCCATCGATAGTTGCTGCTTAAGCGTATTTTATGCTACACCGCTGTGAATGGAATTTACGAGGCGCCCTGCCCGTTCACGTCACATTTTGCCACCCGAAACGAATGGCTGCCAGACATGGCATCCCGCCATATCGGCACATTGCTACATTGCCACTGCCTCAGTGTCTCCGAGCATAAAAGCGCATAGTCGCATAAAATGCATAATTCTCTCCGAGGAAGAAAAGCAAACTCAACTTGAGAACTCTTTCGGCGTTGTCATTCTGCTATTGAGACATAAATTGTTCCATGCACTCGGAGGCAATTTATGCACAAAGTTTGACAATTATAATGGCTCCCGGGGGATATATAGTCGAAGGGTTTGAGGGAAAATTCATAAATGAATAAGGAAAAGAGTTATGGTGAAATGTAGGTATTTAAATCGTTTGGAGTTATTTCGTTAATTTACCTTTAAATAAAGATAGTACTCTTCATACAAAGAAGAAAACGCACAAGTCAATTAAATAATGCAAATATCTAGTTCTCCTTTCATTAAGGATCCTCCGGCCATAAATCCCTGTCAGCTATTTCAAGTCCCTATAAGCATATCTAACACCTTGCATTTTTAGCTGTTTTTTCCAGATGCAAGGGGATGATAAACAGCGGGTACAACTTAATTTCGTTAAAATAAATAGCAAACGGAAATTATTTAATTTCCGGAGCCTGGCTGGCGGTTACTCCGCTCGGCAGACACGTTGATTGCACAATTAGCCGAGCTACGGGTGTGTAAATCACTCTCGAAACACAAGAGATACTGGGTATATATAAGGATGGTGTTCGAAGGGGACTGGAGATGACTCACCTGGACGCGGACCTCCGGCAGGTTCACCTTCATGGCCAGCTCCTCGCGGGAATAGACATCGGGATAGTGCGACTTCTCGAAGGCCCTCTCAAGTTCGTGCAGTTGGTAGGTGGTGAAGGTGGTTCTATTGCGACGGTGTTTCTTCTTGGCGCAGTTATCGTCTTGGCCTGCCGATTCAAATACGTGGAACGGAATTAAGTGGGGGTTAAATTAAATACGTGTTAAATTAAGTAGGGGAGAGTGGGGGAATTTCGTCAGCATTTTTTCAAAGCTATTTTTTGTCCATCTTGAGACACGTTATCATATTTCTATTTTTATTGTTGAATGCGGTTAGCACCAAGCTTTAAAATGTGACATTCCCCTATTTTTTTAATTAGCTTGGTGATTTATAAAAAAATTAAAATGTAAAACCAATATACTGGGGCAATCTCACCACACAGGGGGGTAAAATCACCACACAACTGGGGAAATTTCGTCACCTGAAAAATGTAGGGAGTTTAACGCCTGAAAATATGCTACACTGATCAAGCGTACCATTTTTGTTGACGTCCTATATTTGTTGCTGCTGCTGGTAGTCTGTTCGTTAGCCAGCTCGTCAAATATAAAAATATGTATTTAAAATAGGTGCGAATTTACCCTTAGCGTACGGTGGCGAAATTTCCCCAGACCGTACTTTTTTAGAAATAATTATTTTTCTTGCGAAATTAGGCGCGAAGTTAAAAATCACTGACGCAGAAATGCACATTATAGCACTGTGTATTATATAAAAAATCGTGTATCTTATTCCTTTTGAATTGTGGCATACAGAAAAAATTTCGTCGAGAACTAAATGTAGCTTTTGAACTGTTGAAACACATTTAATATTATAGCTTAATTATCTTGGCCTTTTGTGCAAAACAAATGCATTGGTTGTGTCTGGCCGTCTTGAAGGACTAAAACAAAAAAATTATATATTTTTACGACTTATGGATTCCGAGATATTGCAGGTGACGAAATTGCCCCTGTGACGAAATTCCCCCACTCTCCCCTACACTCAAAAAAAAATTTTAGAAAATCGCCTATGGATTTGCTTTACTGGCGATTTTTTTCTATATTTCTGGAATATTTCTTGAATTTAATGAATTTTGATTAATTGGAAGAAAATTTTCTTTACCAGTAGAAAATTTTTTTATTTTAAAGAAAAAAATCGCCAGTGAAGCAAATCCATAGGCGATTTTCTAAAATTCAGGGCGATTCATTTTCTGAGTGTAATGGTTAAATTAAGTAGGGGTTAAATAAAATGCTATTGCTATTATTTCGATTTCGAAATTATTATTTTTCGATCCTTAAGAAAGGAATTCTTATTATTTAATTTTGTAGATATTCCTCTGCCGACAATGCACTTAATAGTAGGCTTAATAATCGGCACGTAGTCAATACTATAGATTCATATCGCCGCTGATCGATGTAATTTCTTATTAGAGATCAAGGTAAAGGTATAGTTAAGTTAAAATAAATAACATTATTATTTTCCATTAGTAAAGTATTCCTATCTATCAACCGAGATTGTACCTCTATATATAAAATTGAAATAATATCGAACTTTATTCGTACTTTCCTAACTCAAGGTCTTTAATAGCCGAATTAGTTTTATTGGCTACATTCATTGTAAGTGGAACTATTTTTGATGATTATCAATATATCCTGCTTTATGTCAAATTAGGGATCTGTTAGATCCCTTACTCACCCTCATCGTCGCTGCCGGAAGTGATCTTCTCGCCCTGCTCGCTGCTGTTGGTCTGGTTGAGATCCTCGCTGGAGGCGCAACTGCCGTTCACGAGACTATCGCTGTCCGCATTTAGCCGCTCGCCATGATCGCCGGAGTTTCCACTGTTTCCACTGGGATTGCCATTGCTGCTGTTGCGAAAGTCATGCTGAAAGCTCTGCTGTTGCTGTTGCTGCTGGTGATGCGACTGTTGCTGCTGCTGATGATGCACCTCCTCCAGGCTGCGCGCTCTAATGCCATAATTGGCGCCCAACTGACCGTTGGCTAATTTCGGCTCATTATCATCACAGAAGACGCCGGCGGACTTGCGTTTAATCGCGGTCGCCAGGGGATTGCGAGGCGCCGGAGTGGGCGGCGAGGTCACATCGAGGGGCAACTTTGCCGCATCATCGTCGTCCTCCTCCAGATCGCTGGCCGAGGACATTGAACGCTCGTCGTAGCCCATTTGCGACGGGGCAACAGGCGCCGTCTGAGATTCTGCGATGAAGTAGGGGGAGGAACCCGTCGACGAGGGAGGCGGAGGCGGAGGAGCAGGAGGACCCGCTCCACTGGGCGATGACTTGGCGTATTTATCCTGCGCAGCCTGAGCAGCCAAGGCGGCCAGATGCTGCTGATGACTGCCAAAGGAACTGGGCGGAGGATGGGGAGCTCCAGAGGCTCCTGGCTGCAATTGATTGGCCTCCACCATTTGGTGCATCGAGTTGAGGTAATTACCCGCCGCTGCCGCCGTCGCCTCCTCCTGATGTCCATGGTACCCATGAGCCGCCTGGCCAAATCCAAAGGCATTGTGATAGCCAAAGGGCGCATGTCCATGATGCGAGGGGTGGTGGCCGGGATGCGCGGGATGTCCAGTCGGCTGGCCCACAGCCATCTGCTGTCCATGGTGCAGGGGCGTCGCATTCGGGGGGTTGTGGGGGCTCTGCTGCTGCTGCTGACCTCCGCCCCCCGGGGGAGTTGGGGGGCCGTAGGGCAGACCACCGTTCTTTGCGTGCTGCTGCAACATGCTCGCCATGTGATTGTCCATGCTGCGCAGCTGCGTCAGGGTCATGCCACAGCGCAAATCCGTGGCGTCCTCGTCGCCCAGGGAGGGGTCCATGGCGCCTGAAAGGGTGGAGAGGTAGAAAAGGAAGATTAAACTTAAGTAAAGTGTAGGAAGCAGTAAGTATCTTAATAGGGCTAATGAAAACTAGAACATCGGCTATCAGTAACTCTGTTAATCTGGTAAAGGGAGTGCGAGGGAGATGGAGCCTTGCAAGCAGCAAAGCCACTGCTTGCACTGCTTGCACGCTTATTACCTAAATAAATTTTATTATTTGCTCATAACTTTTGAATAAAAGATCTGATTTTGAAAAAATAAAATAAAATTTACAACTGCAGTACTTCCGGAAATAACTGTAGAAAGTTTTAACAAGTGTCATACGGCAATAATCAAATAAATATAGAAAAAAAAATATCAAAAATCAAATAGAAAATAAATGAAACAGAGTTTTAAATGAACAAAACTCAAATACCATACCAACTTATTACTTACCCACCTACAAATAATATCAATCTAAACACCAATCGAAGGATTAAAAGTATAAGTCTATTTCAAAAAAGTACCTTAAAACTAAAAAAGAAAATGATTTGAGACGCCTTGAATGACATTTTACTAAAATATAAATCTGGCAATAAATATTCCTCAACAACATAATTTCCTTGAGTTAACCCATCCCAAAAGCAGAAACCTGAAAGCAATATTAAGTGTGTAATTAATTGAGCATGATCAATAATGAGCACTCGAGGCTCCTTTTCCTTTCCTTTTCCGATTCACCCACGCATTTAGCCACCTGATTAGATTTTAATTAGTATGCCCAATGAGGCGGGCAGAGAAGTCATAAAGCTGTTTGCCAACTTGCTGGCTGAAGGCCTTGAACAGCCCGGCTGGCTAATAACAACGTGTTATTTAATTTGGTGGTTGAATGGAAGCCTTCGACCCACAGCGGGTCAAACCTGTTGGCCGCCCACCCACTAATAAACGGCTTTCAATTAGACGCCTGCTATTTACAATGTGAGGCAATAAAAGTTCTCGGAATAAAGAGAAGGAGTTCCCGATGAGGTTAGTTGGTATGGGATGGTATGGCATATTGGTCCCTAATGGGCGTTCTCCAAACTAGCGCTTGTGCATATCACGTGACATGCAAGGAAGTCATTAGTTGCCGAAGGCTCCATACATATTACAGGTTCAACTATCAGATCCTGGCAGTTCTGGGCTGGATTTTGTGTAACCGAATTCAATTTCTATGTTAAATTGGCTTTCGAGGGCGGGCCGATTCGAAAACAAAACCAATTATCCAGTCAGACGGTGGGAAGTTGCTACTCGAGCCGAGTCCCGAGAATATCTGTAATTATTTGATAGTCTTTTGGATAATTGCTTTTCCATGTAGGCCCCCCTTTTCGCTTAGTCGATTGTCTAATGTAATTATGCGTTCCGATTCGATTCGATTCGGCTCAGTCCGATTAATTGGGTCAACATTTTGGCTAATTAACTTTAAATTTAAACGGCAGCCAAAGCGAACGATTGTAAATGCCCCGAATTAACCTCAGCGAGCGTTTTCACCAATCAATCGAAATTTACACGCCCAGCATGCGTTTTATTTTGAGCCACAGCCACTGTGGTGCTAATGAAATTAACAACGAAATTCGTTTTGAAAGCCCAAAGCCTCTGCAAATGAAGTAGCACAAAAGATGTCGGAATGGGTTTATTTGAATGTGAGCCACATGAGGCATGAGAGACAGTAGCTGGCTGACGAAAAACCCCTCTATCAATCCAGCAATCCAACAATCCTCCAAAAAACCAACCGCTGAGTTGCCCACACGGAGTGCGTGAGTTAATTGCGTGAGCAGCGAAAAATAAAAGGTTAAAACAAAAGTTTTTCTGCCTATCGACCAAGAGGCGGAGGCTCTTTCCTAAGCAATTCGCCAAAGTGTGAATGATGTGATGGATATATATCGCTGGGAACTTGTTATAACGTGACATAAATCAAGACCTTATATGACAGGAATCAATTCAGAGGGAAAAACATAATTTATGACTGAAGAAGGAAAATGGTAAACACTAAACTCTGAAATATAAGTACTATATATTTTACATCAAACTTTTATTACATTTTTAGAATATAAGATTTGTATTACTGGGTTTATTTATTGAAGCTTTAAAGCTTTTTTATATTTGTATATTACAATCTTCTCAAAAATGTATTTATTTTTAATTTTAACATAATTATAAATAATATGAAGAAAGATTTCTGAGTAATACAAAATTCTAAACCTTTTAAGCTGATATATCAGTTCCATAAATAAACCAATATAATCTTAAGATCCAAGTTGCCTAATGGTGAATGAACCGCTTTATAAGCCACTTCCCATTCACTCAGGTTCGTTGGCTTTAACAACCAGGTTTGGTATTCATTCAGTGCTAGCCCCGTGAAAAAATGATCGACAGATCAATTAAGAAATGATTTCCGTGCGCTGCTCTCCATTAGCTATTAAATTCAAGTTTTAAATTTGATTATGAATTTCAAACTGCGATTGTAAATGCTAAAAGGTTGAGATACTTGGCTACCGAGAAACTTTCCTTGAGAGAGATGCTAGACCTCGATTAGAATGGATTCTCAATTTGCTCTAATTTGACTCGTGTTTCCGATGAGTCCATCGCAAAGTGAGGGACAAATTGACGTTAATCGCGTCACTTCTTCTTTTTTTCCCTTTCCATGTCTCTAATCCTAATGATGATTTGACAGTTTCCCATTGTTGGCCCAATACTTGGCCATTAGGCGGCCTAATTGATATGTTATTAGCCGAAAAGCAGGGGGTTTTCGAAAAGTCATGGCCAGAACAGGTAAAGGAAATGCACATTTCGTTCGGTTTCTTGTTCGCCGGAAGATCTTAGCAGCCAGATGAGATGCGATATCGGATTCATATCAAAAAGCGAAACAAGCCATAAACAAAACTGTCAATCACAAGTGTGAGGGAGGAGGGGGGTTTTCTTATGGTTATAAAAAGTGGTAGAAGCCACAAAGGCGGCTAATAAGACGACGCCGACGCACAGACACGCATTAAAATCATTAAGACGCCTTAATGCTCAATTTAATGCCGCGTCAACTGCTTAACAGATCTCGTGTAGATGGGGATCACTTCGATTGCTCTCCCCGTCTCTTTCTGTCTGTATATCACCCTCTCTTTCTTTTTACATAACCCCCTCTCTTTCGCTCTTCCTTTTAGCCTATCTTGATCTTAACGATGCAGAGCAAGTTTGTTTTTTTTTTTTGCTTCTTGGCCAAATGCACTTGTGCCTCCTTTGCGCCTTTAATGATTGTTTACATCTTACGTCTTCCCTCTCTCTCGACTGCACTCTACCTGTCTCTTTCTGCCGTGGGACGCCACCAGCTGTCAGTTTAAATGCTTTTTGACGGCTTGTGTCTGGCCGCCAGTTTAATTATGGCTTAAATGCGAAATGCTGCGAGCTTGCCTTGTAGGTAGACCTCCAAAACCCCCTCCCCCTCCTCAACCAACACCACTAATTAGCCTGCTTCTAATTAATTTGCGGCCATTTAATCTGTGCTCTTGTTGTTGTTGTTGTCGCCCAGCGCCATTTTGATTCGCTCTTAATGTTGTTGTCAATTTGTTATTATTGGTTGTCCGAGCTCTTCAGAGGAGGCTCTTTGCCACTGTCGGAATTCGAGGTGTCTGTTTTGAGCGTTTATGAACGCACTTAATTGAATTAATTGTAAATTTACTTGCTGCTAATTGTTTTGGCTGTCTGCTGTGCGGGTTCAAAATGCTGCTGAATTGCCAATTTAAACAGTTTCTAATTGCTTTTGTTAATTAAAGATTGGGCAAATAGAAATATTGATTTTAATTTAGATGATTACATTTTGTATGGGATACGTTATAATATTAGGTGAATTTTGGCATTCTGCCTTGGAATAAAAGAAAATTAGACTGATCAATAATGCTAATATTGTACAGTCTTTTATAGCGAAAAAAGTAATTACAGCAATTAAATTTTTAAAATCAATATATGGTAAGTTTAAGTGAAATTTTTTATGGTTTTATAAAAAAGTTAATGATTATTATAATTGTCTTGTTTCTATACAGACAATTTGAAATAAAAAGAATAATAAAAATTCCTCAAGATCTACCCATTAAATTTGTAGTATTAAGCTAGCAGAACGAGAAAAATGATGATTGAAATGGTATAGAGTATTTTGTTGCTGCAACTTTTAACCTTTTTATAGGTGAATTTTACCTATTTTAAGGGCTAAGAAACTTTTACTATTTTTTTTGTATTTTCAACGGCTGATTTTCTCTGTGTAAGAACCCAACCTGTTCAAACCTACCCATGAAATATAAGTGCGAAAAGCACTATTCCCCAGCCCAAATGGCAATAGGAACTCCTTAATTTCTCACCTCACCTCACTGGATGATCCAAGGACTCAAGGCTATGGAGTTATGGCCATAACCATAATCGCAGCCATATCAATGCCCACCCATTTTTCGCAAGTCGCTGCCAATTTGGGCGGTGGGCGTGGTCGAGACGCGACAATCGCTAGTCGGCAATCAAAACAGTAGCGAAATGAATTATAAATGACGTGCAGAAGACTATTTTTGGCGCCCAACGAGGAGCCGTCGCCAGCTGGCACCACGAAAATCCCCACCATAATCCAGTTAAAAAGCCTTCAAAAGTATTCAACTAATAGAAGTTTAAATTGGCAACCAAAGGCGGGTTTCTAATCCCTATGTCATCTATATTGTGACTTCCTTTTTTCGGGCCTCGTTTCTCGTTTTCTTGGCGAGTGATTACCTGACTGATTGCTTATCAGCTGTCGTGCATCTCGAGGCGTTGCCAAAGTGCAACTACCGACGCCACCACCCACCTAAGCCACCCAATCGCCCAACTAAACCACCCAGAAAAAACCAACACCCCCTGTCAAGGCTAATACAATTTTGCGATTGTGTTTGTTGATTCCATGGCCTGCCAGTGGGTAATTGAAATCGATTTGCCACTTTTTATGACAGCTAACGATCATGGCTAATGGGCAAATAATGGTTCTAGTTCTAAAGAGAAGGATTGGTTGGTAAAACGATCGATAACACTATCGATAATATCGATAGTTTTAAAATGTAAACATTAAATTTTGTTTTATTTTTATGGCGTTAAAAATTAAATTTCCGTTAGGTTTATAATTAAAGCGCAGCTTTTTTAAATAACTTTTTAATTTAGTTTTCTTTAGCTTTGGTAATTTATTTTCTCTAATTTCCGATAGTATCGATAATAACAATAAATTATCGATGTTTTCACAACCCTACTGATTAGATATAACCCCATCCGATTTTCGAGACTTACCATCGCTGACCATTTCCGGATTTCGACCATTCCCATTCCCAGTGCCATTCACATTGCGATTCTTCAGGCCCAGAATGGCATCGATTGTGTGGCGCGGCGTCAGCGTCTGTCCGCCCGATCCGAACTTCCTGGCATTATCCTTTAGCAAGTCGTTGCTATCTGCGGGTAAAACGAAAAAAAGCGCAGGGCATACGGAATTAAAAGCCTGTTTGCCAACAGTTTGCCAAAGTCAATTAGGCGCACGACACACAGCAACCTGCGACTCTATGCAAATTTGTCAGCAATTTCGAAAGTATTAAAATTTAGTCCAGTCCCACATACACACAACTTTATTTGCGATTTTAACGAGCTAAAAGCTGTAATTGCAACCATGTCTCCCCCTATCCCTCCACCAAATAAAAATGGCCAGTTGTCACGACGGCATGCTGGAAAGTAGGCAACATGTTGCCTGATGGCTTTATGCATTTTTAACGAAATTAAAACAAACTGTGCCAAGTGGCGAGTGGCGGTGGTGAAAGGTGGAAAGTGGACAGGGAAAAGTGCAGCGGGTAAATCCCTTTAATTGCCTCGTCTTGCAATTAGCTTATAATTTTTCTCTCAAATTTTCCGCTGTGCATGTTAATGCACTAAAAAACATTGCTGTGAACACGCACACTCTCTCGAATTCAGGGAGCAAGAGCGGTTCGGAATGTCCGTGTCCGGCAGCAATTTGTGTTAATTAAATCTATAATCAAACAATTGCAAGCCTTTTCCGGCTAAGGCCACACATGGAAAATAAACTTGTGAACTTTGCAAATTAGGTAGCTAAACAGAATAGGAATAAAAAGTATGGGTCTATTTTGACATAAGATAAAGATATTAGAAGATGAATAAACCAAAATATTTGGCTGAAAGGATTTTAGACGGTTACCAACGGTTTATTTTTCAGTATTGCTACTAGTTCCAACTTATAAAAATAAATACAATTAATTTAAGTTAAATTTATGCCTGTATTTATCTGCTATAATAATAATTCAAATAATTAAATCATGTACTACTTTAAATCGCAATAATTATGCTTTCCTTTGCCTTGACTTAATTTTTTTCTTTTATTTTATTTTGTTTAATCAGAAATACTCTTCCCTTTCATTAAATTGTTTTATATTAATCTATTAATTGGTGAAAATTAAGAAAAAATTCTTCAATTATCCATAATTTAAGTCAAAAATATATTTTTAAAAATATATTTTGAAAACCTTCTTCAAATCTACTGCCCTGAATCGAAATCAAAAACCAAAGAAGCCTATAAAGACAATCAATCCAATGTAAAATCGAATTAAATTTAGCCGTCGGCAGGTCATCCCAACCCAACCCAATCTGCGCTCACCTTCGGCCGAAATCACAGTGTTGTTGTTGGCCAGGTGGGCGGCGTAGTGCTCGTGGAACTGCTCGAGGTTCTTGAACTTCTCCACGATCATCTGCAGGTTCTTGGCATCCCTCACATTGCCGAGCAGGTGGCGCAGGTGCTCCAGCTGCTTGGGCGGCAGCTTGTGGTTGCCGCCGCCCTGCTGGACGAGCTGCTCGAAGATGTGCTGGAATGTGGCGGCGGTTGGATTGTTGGGCGTCGTGGCTGCCAAGGAGGAGTTGGAGTTGGATTGACCACCACTGCCTCCTGGCGATCCTGGCTGGCCGGGAGGAGCCACTTCGAGGGCGGGCGGCGTCGAGGCTTTGATATCCATTCGATTTTTAGGCGATTTCAGGGGCAAAAGTACTTTAATCGGCAATGATGATATGATTGATCACAGTTGGGGCACAAGAACACACACACAAATTGTATTTAATTCGATCTCTCTCTCGGAATTTTCCTTCACTTTTCCTTTTTTTGTTTTTATGCTTTGGTTAAATGTCACAACTACCAAACTACCGAAACCGTTGCGCACCGGGCCAAGGCAGAGTTGGCAATAAACTCGAGGCTCGAAAACAGCGACTGAGGCCCGCTGACGACTCGAGTTTCCAAATCGAATTGGAAACCGGTTGAGCTCACCACATCTATATATACACAGAGGGTTCTTCTGTGTGTGTGTGCTTGAGGGGCGGAGCTAGCTGGAGAGAGGATTTCAGAGAGAGCGGGAGAGAGTGCGCAGGACCTCTCCAGCACGGAAAATACCTCCCAATCCCATATCCTTACGATCCGGGAGTCCAGAGTGTAACAATGAATTTTCGACTCCTGCCAAGTGGTTTGTTTGTCGGCTTCGTAATAAAATAAACTAACTGCACTTACTGCCCTTCGTCCTGGAGGTCCTGCCGCTCCTGGTGGGGGAAAAAAGGACACACGGAATTATGACTTTGCTGCCACAGATTTTTCGACCACAATTGCATCGACAAACCATTTTTGGGCTTAGGCCACAAAGTGTGTGCCGCTCTCCCTCTCTCTCTCTCCTTCTACATCCTTTGATTCTTCCGTCTCGCTCTACGGATTCTCCCAAGGAGCGTGAAACCTAAAACGGATACATAAGTGGATTTTGTTAATATCCTGCTATTGTTACAAATTTGCAAGCTGATTGCGGCAAGCGGCATTTGTCAAGGAAATAAACTTAAAAGCATTCTTCAAGGGGCGAAAGAGGTCAGGGAATTTATTGGGCAGTAGGCTTAGTAATCAGTTGAATAAAGAGTTGATTTCTAATTTGTATGTGTATTTAATAAATACTATTTATTAACACAAACTGAATTTGGAATTAAGGTGTAACAGTCATTCCAGTCTTAAAATAATAGTGTTGTTTGTGAATTATTTATTGTATCGTGCTTCTTAGGGTTTCTGATTAGATAAGTTAGCTTCAATTTTACCAATCTTTCTAACTTAAGAACACCGTAAGAAACATCGAGCCTATTGACTCGATTGAATTAATTCAAGCACAACTTGATGAAGGAGTACGATAAATGTGGAGGACTTTAACGCATTATATCGTATTAATTGTACGTTATAAATAAAATGCATTTAAAAGATAATTTAGTGTTTTTAATTCATTAGATACGTTAAAAATATTTTTAAAATAAATAAAAATAAACTCAATAGTCATTTAATAATTATTTTTATAGCTTATTCTTATAAACTTCGGTAAAAATATCTTAAACTCGATTACCAGTAGCTACTGAGTTGCTCTTTAAAACCTGTTAATACCGTCATTACATAGCAGGTTTAGCTGGTTGGCCAAAATAATTTGCTAAAATCGCAATGGAAGGTGAGTCCCCTGGAAGAGCTCCCAACCCCTGAAACCCCCTTTTCCCCCTGGCAACTTCCGACACTTGATTGTCAGCCGGGTAATAGACGCAGTCAGCCAGTTCAGCCAGCCATTAAGCGTGGCCAATACCATTACCATTTACATTTAGCCGGCATCTCGCAGCTTACCTGTTGTCGTGAGTTGTGGTTTTTTTCCCCAGAGCTCGACTATTTCATTTCAGTCCAGTTCATTCAGTTTCTCTCTTCGGGCTTCGCTTCAATTTGCCCCGTTTACGCTATCTTCCATTACACGTTAAATGAAAATGCCAGATAACCATTTTCCACCCATTTTCCACCCGTTTTCAACCCCTCCCCCTGACATTTCGGTTTGGACCCTCCTTTTGGCCCTGCGATTCGATTTGTGCCAACTAATGAGCTCTTAATGCGCGTTTATTCTTACGCATAACGAGCTTGCCAAACGTAATTACGTCCTAGGGATGTGTGGGTGTATCTGTGTGTGAGTGGGGGGGGGCTCTTGTGCGCTCTCTTCCTGCCTGTCAGCTTGTGTGCGTGTGTATCTGTGAGAGGCTGCCATGTTGGCGCGCTGCTTAATTGAAGTGGAGCGACAGACGGACAAACTGTATCTCGGGTATATCCTTCGTCCTGAAAGCCAGTGTGTGTGTGTCTATGTGTGTGTGTATCCACTTATCCTTTTCATTTACGCCACATCCGCAACGTTAACTCGCTGCTCACTGCCACTCCTTTACTCGGTTTCCCCCTTTTTTGTTTTAAATTAATTTGCTTTTAATTTGCTTTATTATGTGGCAATTTCTCCGCCTTTCGCTGGATTTAATTAGTTTGCTTTTATCGTTAAGCAGTTAACTTTCCATTGAAGCGAAGGGGAAATATTAAGTATACGCAGGGTGGGCCAGGAATAAAATAAATCTTCTAATACTGAATTCTGGGCTTCAGGGCTGCTGATCCTATCTCTTTTCCCCGACAGATGTGATCGAGATGCACTTAGTGGTAGTCCCATTATCACAGGAATACCCTCTAAAATCGAAATCATTCTGCGCATACGTAAAGGTCTTAAAAAAATAGAAGGGAACTCTGCTGTTAGAGTAAAGAACCAGTTTACCTTGCTACCTTTTATTTTACTCATAATTCCCATTCAAATTACCGCTCTCTTTGCTGTGGGCGTGGCCCAAACCAGTCGCTCCCTCTCTTAAATGAGTTGGTATGTGTGCGAGAGCTTCGGCGCACTGAACTCACCCATACACATGCACCGAGAGACACACCGACACATGCCTTGTGGTAGACCATTGAAAAAGTGATGAAAATAACTCTCTGTCACTTTATTGGCGCTTAACGAGTTTGAGTTGATGAAGAATTTAATTTATGATGCTGCTCACACCATCAAGAAAGAGATGGCAACAGAGAGAGAGAGAGGGAGAGGGAGGGAGCCAAAAACCGCAGAGCACAAGAGGCGGAGAAAATAAGAGAGAGAGGAGGGAAAAAAGAAGAAAAATTAATGAACTCGTAACTGTCGCTTTTGCAAATTGGGCTCTGAGAGTGTGCGAGTGTCGGTGTATGTGTATGGGTGTGTGTGCAGGACTCTTACTCACACATACACACACACAGACAGGAGGAAACAGCAGCCGTCGCTGCCGGCAGACGTCAAGCTTTGATGATTTAATTTTCTGGTCTTCTAATTTAATTTTATTATAGAAATACACTCATGTGTGTGCTAGTGTGTGTGTGAGAGTCTGAGTGAGAGCCTTTTACTTGTGTGTGAGTGCCCACACCCTCACAGACACACATGCAAATTCGTTAATGGAAAATGGTGGCGTTTAATTGAAAAAGGAAGTGCGCCAAAGGGCTGAGCGACAGGGAAGCGACTGAGGGAAAAAGGAAAAAGGACTCGGCAAGGACCGAGTTTTCCATCAAATTAATTTCATGTGTATGTCTCTCCCTTTTCCCATCTTTTTTCCCAGACTTTGTACTTCTTGTTATTGTTCATTTTTTGTGTCATATCCTTTTTTTTAGTGCGGTTACTGTTGCAATAACAATTTTCAATTAAACTTATTTGTTTTCATGGCCAGGAAAATAAAAAACGATATATAAAAGGCGAAAGAGAGAGAAAAGTTAATTGAATTAAATATTCCAGCGAGATAATTACAAAATGGCGTTGATTAATCGTCAGCCGCCATATTGATTTTGCCAGCAACAATATTTAATGATTAACAATTAACATTGAACAGGGATTTTTGATGCAGACACTGCCTGCCTGCCATCCTCTTTGTGCCTTAATAAAAGCAATTAAAATTCATTAGCTGCGAACACACACACTGGCACACTCACAAGGACTCTACACACAATCACACACTAATGCCATCATGCGCTCGTTTTCTCAATTATTCATTCAATTTTGCATGCCACAAAAGCAAGAGCCAAGGAAGCTAAGCTAAGCTACATCCACCAGCCAAAAGGACCTCTCTGAGAAGCTTCCTCCATACATATTCATGCGGCTAAATGAAAACGGCAACACTTAAATGCAATTTGCCTCAATTTTCCCAGCAGCCAACTCTCCCCATTTTCCCACCCAAACGAACGTCTTGGCTTAGAGCGTCTTAACGTCTTTTCATGGCACTTACATCGTCATTCTATTCGTCTAATTTCATTTTCTTGCACAAACTGCTGTGTTGTTGCTGTGGAAAAGTGGGCAGACGAAGAAGAAGAAAGAGGTCCTGGGTTCCTTTTGGCCAAACTGGCTTCGGTTTATTCAGCTACTAGAGCTACTATAGTTGGATTCTGGCAGACTGCCTGCTTCATTCTAATTACATTCAATTAAACATGCTGATTGATATGTTTGTTCTGCTGCGACTGCCTCGATAGAGTTAACGATTTCGGAGGGGGATTCCCGGGTAAATCAGCCCGCAATTGTTTGCTCCTTGTTTGTGTTTCAAGTTGTATATTCAAGGGATTAAATCAAAAAGTTAGACTGGGAAAAAGCGATAAATACGAATTAACAATCGTTAAAATTTGAAACTTAAGTGGAAATAACATTCACCATAAGAATTTTGAGGACACAGAAATCGGTATTGCATGGTAAAAACCATATACCATGCGCATATCGATTTGATCCCGGCGGATATTTTTTGTGTGTAGAAATACTATACATTTCTAAATCTCTAAATATTAAAATGGGATTATTTTAGTATTTTTAACATTTGATAAATATTTAATATTGATTCGGTTAATTTAATCTCTTTTAAATCCTCTATTCTAAGTTCCTTTTTAAATATTCATCTCATTTGCTTCGAATATCTCCTAAAACAACGCTTGTCTACTTTGACAGGTAAATGGATTTGCCAACTAATTAATTGCATATTATTTGCATTTTAGTGTTGCATTTTCATCTAATTTAACGAAAATAAACCAACCGCCTTCCACATGCATGCGACGCAATAATTATTGCCATTCTGGGAAAAATTGCATTAATTTTCTAACAAACATTTTCATATTAATTGAACATTTTGTGTGCAATCAATTTGCATATCAAGCATTAATAAATGGAATTATCCGCATTTTAATTGCATTTCTCAGACAAAAGTTTTAGTTTTGGGGCCGAAAAACAAATTATTTTGTGCGACGACAAAACCTGAAAGCAGGCTGGAAACGAAAAGCGCGACCGAAAAATTAAGCTTTATTTGTGGAAATTGCAATTCAATTAAGTTTTCAAAACATGCAAATTGCGAATGGGCGCACAGGACAAATATTGACAGAGCCGCAGAGCAACAAAAGCGCACCGAAAACTTGTTTGTATAATTTCATTAGCGTTGATTTGCAGCAAAAATGCACATTGCACACTCGCAATTGCAGTAAAATTCACTTGGCCTGCCATTGATTAAACAAGTCGATTGGGAACCGGGATCGAGATCCGGGGAATCCCCAACTCGCATCTCCCATCTCTGGAATAAAAACTAATTACAGGCCAGGGTCCAAAAATCCAGCCATCTATGGTTAGGCGCCAACTGATAATTATAAGCCTGGAAACTGGAACTCTGATTGCCAAGCAGCAGCTGTAATAAGGGGAGGGGTGGGGGGTGGAAAACAGGGACAGGAGATGAGGGTGCGTCGCCGCAGGAGGCCCACAGACCCAAACCCAATCCCATGCCATTCGGCATTCCCGTTGCCAATCTCAATACCAATCCCAATCCCAGGGCAAACATGTCCGCAACAGTTTCCGCTGCACTAACGAAATTACAGACGCAGGCTCACACGCACACCACACACTCGCAATCGCCATGTCCTGCGGCGATTGTGAGCGCACAGGATGCGGAACAGGCTCGTGAACTCGGTAACTCAGTAACTCAGGAACACAGGCATACAGGACCTCGGGACCTTGGATCTCCCTGCAACGGCTAATGCTAATGCTAATGCTCTTTGAACGACTAATTAGTGAATTACTATATAAGCAAACTATTTGCCCGGCAAACGGCAACCCAAAGCAAATTGTCCGGAAGACTGGCCAGGACTGGTACATTAGAAATAGAGCGGAAACCAGGACCAATTAGAGACAGCTGTGGGATGCGTTGGGGTCCTGGTTGTCCAGTCAAAAGGGTGAATGTACTGCACTCGGTTTCATAATGAGATTTTAGAGATGTTTGCTATTTGTGATTCTATTATCTAACATAGTTCAACATTAGTGAGATTAATGAACTTATCTAATTCGTGATTTTTCAGCTTTGAAAATTTCTCTAGATTTCTAAAGTAAATTGTCTAAATTTAAAAACCTCTTTTATAAAAAAGTTTTGGATTTATATTTACCTAAGGTTGGAAACAAGATGCAGTTGCTATAAATATTACCCGAAATAAATATTTTCCCGCTAAAAAATATTATTATTTGATTATATTTTAACAAAGTTAAAGGTGGTATATAATACTAAAACTATTCTAGGCTTTGAAATAATATATTAAAACCAATCTAAAAGAAGAGTTTTGTGAAATAAGAGTTTCTAACTTTATATTTTAGGTGATGTAACATCAAAAATCATAACAAAATATACATAAATATAAAAATACATCCATTTCTATTAATCCCGGCCAATTACACTTGATTAAACCTAAAACCCGGTCCTGTAGCGATTAAGGTGCACCGTACGATCCTCGAGCGGCTGAACGGGGCGAGCATTGCGTGCGATCCGAACTCCCCGTCGGTCCTTCAGCTGACGAAACTCGTTCAGCTGTCTTTCGCTGATGGCCAAGGGCACCGGGTGGATCAGCCACTCGGCCCCCCGATGGCAAGGGGGTTCCGTTAGCGATCCATTGTAGCTGTAGAACTTGTCGTAGAAGGCTGGCATCAGGTAACTAAGGGGAAAGGGCGGTACTTCAACCACCTGTCCAGCCTGTTGAACGGCCACGAGATGCTGAACGAGGACATCGAGGAAGGGATTGTCATCGGTAAAGTCGAACATGTAGGAAATCATCAGGATGCCCTGGCTGGAGGAGCAGGCTTCTCCATCGCTGGCATCTGTGTGGAGGCACTGCATCTCCAGGGGACTGTGTTGATGATCTAAAGTATGCTCCGAACCGGAAGAGTTGCTCCAGCTCCAACGAAAGGAGATCTCCCGAAAGTCAAAGCGGCCCAGCAGATCGCCACCATCAAGGGAAGGCACTCGTCCTGGAAAGGCAGCTCGCAGGATCAGAGTATGACCATTGTTCTCCAGGCGAATGCCCAAGGGAATGTCATTGTAGTGTGACCATATCAGCGGTGCATCAAAGTAGTTGATCTCCAACGAATTCCTTTCTATATTGATGGGACTCTGATTGTTGCAGGGGGCATTCCAGGTATGCGGACCCCTGTCCCAACCATAATTATAGTTCTCGGGGGAAACTCGAGGAGTACAGTCCAAATCACTGGAGGAGCCGCGCAGATGATCCCCGCCAGCATCTCGAGAATCCTCCTCCTCTCCTCCTTCACAGTTATTAGCAATTTGGAAGCCCGTGTGCACATTCACCAATACCAGTAAGGCCACACTGATGGCCAGGATCAGCTTGAGTAGATTGCTGTCCTGCAGGCGACAGGATAGATCCTCCAGCCAGCACCATAGGTACTTCAGAAAGCCACAGCTCAGGCAGCCGTTCATCTTGATAACCCAAGTAAAAGTTGGTGAAGAATAATATTTACTCCGCTGAAATGACAACCAACTCCTGGCCTTCCTGGTTGAGCGCGGAAAATTGAGAAAATTTCTAATTAAACCCGCTGAAAAGTTAATTATTTTGGAAAACAAATTGGGCGCCCGGCAATTTTGTGCGAAAACATTTGCAATTTGTTTGCATTTGTATTTTGCATAAATTAATTACGCACAAAACTCTCTTCGGCGGCGGAAATTGCTTGCACAAATATCCTGTGCCGCTCCTGCGTGGACGCTCCTCTCCTGGATCCTCCCGCCCCTCCTCCTCCTTTCCCTCCTGTTTCGCCTTCAACCCTTCTATGTTGCATTTTGGGAAATTAATTAGTTTTGTATGTACAAAATAGGCGAAATGAGCACTAGGTGCCAAACGGAAATTATTTCCAGCTCTCCAGCGCCTTTTGTGCGGCGACAGGAACTGCACGGGGAAAAAGGATATAAAGGTCGATTGATTTAGTACTCAATTTTTAGATTATCATTATTATTTATTTCTTATTTAGTTGTTTAGTTATTTATTTCTTTACATATTTATTTCTGGCCACAAATAATTTTCTTTTTTCACCGTTTCAAACATTACTTGTTTCAAATTTAATTCTTATTCAACATATCAAATATCATATTAAAAACATTTCCCCTAAAATCATTATTTTCTCTGCCTGTAGGCCCATGTTTTGACTTTTGGCCTGTGAAATTTGAGACTTCTCGGCCATCTCTGATTAGCATAAAGTTCTCCAAAAGCCAGCCACGCCCACAGTTCTCGGGGGTTGAGGAGGGGTGGCTATACGTATACCCACTGCGATTCAATTATGACATTTTTCTGATCAATTCGTTTGGCTTTGATTTGATTTCATTTTCCTGCACTTGTGCAGGGCGTTGACGTCTGCCAAATGTTACAAATTGTCCGTGCCCCCGACCTCTGAGGACCTCCTCATCTACCTTTCATCTGTCGAGTGTCCGGGTGGTATTCGTAGTATCGGTAGTACATGGACATGGAACATGTCCTGGGGCATGCGAGCTGCACGCAAATTGACGGGTAAGCATGTGGCATAAACGGAAACACTAACATCGTTAGGCGAGTCCTGCCAGAGGAGGGTGCCAAAATAACAAAATACGAAAATAACGGAATAACAATCATAACCATTTTTGAGTTACCACGACCGCCCGAGGCAGTTGTTTTCATTTATGACCGAATGACTCGATTTTTATGGTCGCTTAGGGTTAATTGAGGCTGCAGATTCAACGATTCAACGATTCCACTCAGGGGTTGCTTGTCACATTACACAATGTTTGTTTTGGTTACTGGGCTTTTTATATCCGCTACAAGGTCTCTATTTAAGTGGTCAGAATTTGAATGATCGACATTCATAAATAACTGATTGATTATAATTTAAATGTCTATAAAGGTGCTAATAATAGTTAAAAGTTGTGAAGTATTCATATCTGTTTCAAATCGCCAACAGGAAAAATGAATGCATATTTTTATTTTATTCCTAAGTATTGTTCTTCAAACACAAACTTATTACCAGATGTCGG